ACCCATTCAGCAATCATATCAGGAAGGTGAGCACACAATTGATACTCAACAAAATTTAGTTCTTTTATTTCCTCTCAAAGGAAAAGGTTAGAGAAAAAAAACTTTTGATTATTACCACCCTCCTCCATTATTTTAATATACATTTACTTTAAAAATACATCACAAAAACATCTCACCATATCAGTGTCAATGGAAACTCTGAGTCCAATTTTATTCATCTCATTACTCTTTAGAGTTTTCAGATGAGGGCACAGTGCGGCACTACAAGCCATGGCAATTTCTTTTGCAAACTGGTATTGAGTTGATGAATTAGGTAAGTCCTGGCCCTTCGGAAAGTAGAATACCTGAAATAGGTTTAATTAGGTTACAAGCCATGATTTAAGTGAAAAAATAGAATTTTCTGTTTTCAACTTTATTAATAACACGCTAATGCTAGTATCTTGAAATCCACTAGTTAGGAGCATTCTGTCTATTGCTCAATGCAAACTATATATAAAAACTTCATATCAAAGGTTATGGAATATGGAAATAGTTCAGCTAGTTTTCCCTAATGTTAATTTGTGGAGCAGAGGAAGCCTTGTTCAGTTGAGAGAACAATACTAACCAGTCTGGCCTATAAGATCCCCATCCTCTAGGGCAGTGGTTCTCAACTTGTGGGTCACGACCCCTTTGGGGGGGGGTGTGTCAAACAACCCTTTCACAGGGGTCGCCCGATTCATAACAGTAAGAAAATTACAGTTATGAAGTAGCAATGAAAATAATTTTATGGTTGGGGGGGGGTTCACCACCACATGAGGAAATGTATGTGAGGAAATGTATTAAAGGGTCACAGCATTAGCAAGGTTGAGAACCACTGCTCTAGGGATAAAGATACTAAGTTAACATCAAACAATGAAATGATTACGTAGAGCCTCCCATCTTAGTCATGCTCTACAGAAGAACTAGAGTGGGCACTGGAGAAACACATCATAAGAGGGAGAGTGGATGCATGTGTGACCTCGCCCTCATGTAGTTTTTCTTCTTGGTCTAGCCAGAGGTCAGATAAAGCCACACTGTTTACTCGGTTGTTTTCTGGGAAAAGTATAAAAATAGAAAGTTTGTAAGCCCACTTGCTTTCAGCCATCAAAATTTGATCTTTACATGGGTTTAGGCCACGTCTGAAAAGAAAGCTTTGAAAAGCTATGACCCACCCAGTGCCCCTAGGGAAAAGAACAAACTCAAAACTAAGTATTTTATTGACATCAATATATAATCAGCATTCACATATAAAAGCTATTTCCACATGTTCTAACATCTTTCCTGGAAATTAAGAGCAAAATGAAAATAAAATAATGCCATCAAGTAACATATCCTATAAGCAAAAAACGGCAATGTTACCAAACTTCAACTGTTAGTCGGCAGGCAAGTACCCTCATACAACAGGCTAAAATAATTCAAAAGAAATATAAATCTGGTGGACACAGGATATCTGGGGAAAAGACATGTGTGTCTGTCAATGTGTAATGTAGGAAATGTAACATGCCACACTTAAATATTCAGAGTAGTGAGTAATTTTCAAATTAAAAAAATTAAACCAAACCGCATATTCATCAGAGCACGTAAAGGGAGAATCCTCCTTTTCGGTTACCTCAGTACACTTTACAATCTTCTCCTCAGTTTCAAAATCTGTTTCCAGTTTTATTTTTTCACTTGGAAATCCTTGTAACGATATTCCATCCACTGAACTGATAACACTGCAGAAAAAAATAATACAAGAGAATTATTAGTGGCAGAGTGCTTTTAAAAACGGAAATTAGAGTGAAACAAAGGTGGCAAGAATAATGGTAAAAGCTATCAACTTAAAGTAGTCAGAGATCTCATTATACACAAAATAAATATGTAATCACATCTAGTTACCAAGATTTCTTCACTAAATTGTCATATATTTTTGATGAATAAATTGAAACTACTGTTTTATGTGCTAAATGCAAACCTTCTGGGGCTTTAAAGATCTTAAATAGTCTCCTAAGAGAAAGCTGTCTCATTAATTCAAAAATTTTATTTGGGATTTTTCAAAATTGGCCCTCTTGTTCCTTCTTTGTTCCAGACCCATAACCAACCTCAAAACAAACAAGCAAACAAACGAAACAAAGAAAATGGGTTAACTGAAAAGAGGAAGGAGCAACAGTAACATTCTGCAAGATCTCTAATTCAATTCCATTGTTAGTCTTTACAGTGAGACAACAGAATGTAGGATTACCATCCGAAGGGAACCCTTTACTTGAATTTGAAAAAGAAGCACATAAGATCAAAAAAAGTGTCTTGCTGCTCTCAGCCCAACATCAGGCTCCAACTGCTACACCATGGACCTTTTATCATTAGCTAGCTCTCACACTGCCAGTCCTTCAGTAATTCACAACATCCGAGCAAGGAAAGACAAATGAAGCTGCTTGTACAAAAGGAACAGACCACATTAATTAATTGGCACATAACCATTTAAATTAATGGTACAATTCCACACTCATTTTTAAATACCAAATTTTATTAATGGAATATTTCTATCTCTCTTTCTAATTAAATCTATTACATTTTAGGAATTAAAAAAAAAATCCTACCCTTTGTTTCCTTTTTCTTCAGAATCTACCCAGCAGATATCTACATATTCTCTCAAGTCTACTGCATCAGCTTTCCCACACGTAATTTTGAAGTCTTTTTGTTCTCGTAGAGCTAACCGCAAACCATCCATGGTCTCTGGGGTTATTTGTACCATAAGGCCATCTGGAATGACAGGTGCACAATTCTTTCACCAAATATAATTCTGCACACCTAAGTCACAGAGTTTACCACCAAAATAAAATCTGTGGAACATATAAATTAAGACATGTTATCGTAATCGCTGTTTTGCAATGGAGGAGAAAAAACCCCCAAAACACTGTATTTTAGATTGTTAAAAGATTTTTTTTTAAGGTTACAGAAATAAAGCTGAGAATTCCTGCTTCTGGCTGTGATGATATGGCTGGCAGGTATTAAACTAGCCCTCTGAAGACTACCAGTGGACAAAATAGATGAGGAAACTGCTTTCAGGTACTGGACAGTAGATCATGTAATACTGTGATCCTTAAAGAGCGGAGCCCACAATTGCCTGGACTCTCTGCCTGGAGATAATTTCCGCACAATGACCCACTAAGCCTTACTGAGCTCAGCGTGAAGAGATCAAGAGTATGAGCAAGCTAAAACGCCTGAAGTCTGCAGTCAAGACACTGAAGAGGAAGGACCTTTATAACCAGGCCACGAGAATACGTAGTATTCAGGAATCCCTTCTGAGTCTTTAGACTAGGTCTATATGAGGCCTATCAGAGAATAGCTGATACAAGAATCAAAACAAAACAGGCATAACATAAATTACGTGAGGTGCAGGAGACGTTTGTAGTCTGGGCTAGCCAAAGTGGAGAAACCTTATTAACACCCCAATAACAATTAATACTCTGATCAAACCAAAAGACAACCCTTTTAAAATCTACAGGCAAAATTGTTTGGAAGCTGAGTCTTGCTAAATGGGAGGGGGTTGGACTTGAACTTTACATAGATCCAGCCTAACAAAATGTAAAATCAAATCTACAGAGGCTTAAAGTGATCAAGCCATTGAAATGCCTACTAAAATAAAAATAAACATTCTTCAAAAGCTAATAAAACCTAAAATATACCAACAAAGGCAACCAAAATTACTACATAGGAAGAGAACATGACCATCTCCCAAGCGAAACCAGTCTTGAGATGGTCAAGATGTTAGACCAAGCAAAAAATGACAACAATAACACTTTACAACTAATTATCTTGCAAACATATTCAAAGACTAAAATGCAAATATTGGTTAAGTGAATGAATTCTAACTCAATGAGAAACAAATTGGAAAAAAACAAAACAAAAATAAATTGTAGAACTAAAAACTGCATCTAATGAATAAAAAACCCAGTAAACTGCACGTGGCAAAAAAAACCCCAAAAAACTTATATAAAGATCAATTTTAAAAAATCAATAAAAATATCCAATCAGAAGGATTTAGAGAAAAAACAAACAAAAGAAGAAGAAAAAGTAACAACAGTCCGAAGACAATTTGGGAAGATATTAAATAGTCTAGCATATATGTAGTAGGAGTCATGAAAGTAAAAGAGAAATTAGGGCAGGAAAAAAAATTGAAGAGGTAATAGTACTAAATTCTAAACACACACACACACACACACACACACACACACACACACACACGAAGAAGCTCGATAAAGTCCAATAAAGATAAAACAAAGATAGCCACATTTAGCATATCACAATTGAAGTGGTAAAAAAATGATGAGAATATCTTGAAAACAGACTTAGAAAAAGAAATGCTAAATACACATCAACAAAAACTATGGCTCCATTTTCACTGGAGACCATGAAGACCAGCAGACAGTTAAATGAGTAGATACGGTTATACACAAGCAATATAGCTAAGAATGAAATAGACAAAATAAAATTGAACAATAAAAACGGCTGAGTAGTCTAAAGTAAGTCATAAAAGGCACAGCAACAAGAAAAAAAAGGGACTGAAAGCATAACTGAGAAACTTCCAGTGAGATGGCAGACCAGGCAGACATATAAAACAGACCCTCTACAACACAGATACCACAGCCATAATGAAACACATACTGATGAGAATCCTAAGACTCTTGAGTTTCAAAGGGAAAAACAGAGAAGTGGATTGACTAATGACCAGGAGAAGGAGTTAAATAAAGAAGCCAGTAAAGAAACTGGTGTATTTTCTAACAGCCTGGCACAGTGCTGCCATTATCAGCTCTGTTTGCTCAGAACTAGCACAAGTATCTACACTGCTGGTTGACAATGAAAAGGGCGGCAGGTAGTGAATGGCTAAGGTTTCACCAACATACAATCATTCATTACATACAAAATATAATAACACCACAATGTCTCAAAGAAAACAAAATTCCAGTTCGTATGGAAAAACAAGACAGAGTGACTCAAATAAGTGACCAATATTCAGAGCCAGAACACTTCCTGAGGAAGAAAAGACACTGGAACTATCTACTAAGGGATTTTAAAAAATGATATTTTGATTCTTTTAACCAAGTGAGAGAAAGATCAATGAAAGCAAGGAAAACTCAGGAAAAAAAAATATAGAAGAATTCGGGAAATACCACAAGGCAAAGTTAAAAATAAGTGAAAAATTAAAAGCCATACAAAAAGAGCAAATAGAAATCAAGATTAATACTAAGATTTCAGAAACAGATAATACACCGAAAGAGTAAAGGAATAGAATTTAATCAATAGAAGGCTAAATGAGTGATCTTAAAGACAAATCTCTGAATACTAAGCTGTTAGAGGAACATTTTTTAAAAAAGAAAAAGTCATAGAACTATGTGTGGTTCGAATTCCAAAACAAGCATAACAAAAAGTGCAGATAAAACTGTCATTTCGAGTTACTGGAAGAGAACTTCTATAACAGCATGAAAGAAGAAGACAGGCATCCCAGAAGCTGAAGGGAACCTCAAACAGGAGAGACCTCAAAAGAAAACAATGATATATCGTAATCAAACTTTCCAAAACCAAAGAAAGAATCCTCAGAACAGCTTGGGGAAAAAATGAAATGTTACATATTTCTGTTACATCAGAAATAGTAAGCTCTGACTCCTCAGCAGAAACTATGCAGACGAGGTAATGGGATAACCTACATAAAACTCTGAAAGACCTATAGGAAAAGAAACTGACTAGGTCATTTTAACATCCTGACCCCTTCCATCCCACCTCCAACAAAAATCTAGGCCTAGATGGAATCACTGGTGAATTCTACCAAACTTTCAGAGAAAAGCTGATGCCAATTATACTCAAACTAGTCCAGAAGAGATTGCAAAAATTTATTTTGTGAAACATGCATAAACCTGGTATCATACTAGATAAGAGACCGTATTAAAAAACTCTCTAGAACAATATTCTAGAAAAAAAATTTCTAGAACAATATTCCTAATGAAATATAGATGCAAAATTTCTCAACAAAATCCTAACCAATAGAATCCAACAATATATCATGGCAAAGTGGGATTAATAGTACATATGCAAAGATGGTTCAACATTAGAAAAACAATTACTATAACCCATCTCATAAATAAAACTAAGGAAAATAAATACACGAACATATCAATTGATACAGGAATTTGAAAAAATCCTACACCATTTCAGATAAAAATGAACAAAATCAGAAGAAAAAATCCTTAACATATTATATATACAAAATCAACAGTCAACATTACACTCAGCAGAAACTTCAAGTATTTCCCTTTTGAACAGCAAGCAGACAATGATGCCTTTTTAATTGATCACTCATATTCAATATTGTGCTGGAAGCATTAGCTAGAGATATCATGCAACAAAGGGAAATTAAAGGCATTACTATTAGCAAAGAAGAAGTAAAACGTCCTCTCTTATTTGCAGTTATGATTCTACACATAGGACATCCCAAAAACTTAGCTAGAAAACTGTTGGAACTAATTGAAAAATTCAGCAAAATGGCAGGACACAAGATCAACATACAGAAATCAACTGTTCTTTTATACTTAAAAGGCAATCAGGAAAGCAATATTATTTACAATTAGCACCCAGAGAAACAAGGGGCCTGTGTAAGGAAAACCACAAACTACTACTGAAAACCGCCAAAGAGACCTACATAAATGGAAGAACAAACAATGCTCATGAACAGAACTGCTAAATATTGTGAACATGTTAGTACTACCCAAAGCAATCTACACATAAAAGGCATCCTAACCCAGAATCCACCCTTATTCTTTAAAGAGATGGAAAAACTCATCATCAACTTTACATGGTAAGGAAAGAGACCCAGATAAGCCAAGTACTACTAAAGAAGAGGAACAACATAGAAAGCCCCTTACTTACTGATCTCAAAACGTATTACAGTCATGGTAGTCAAAATAGTCTTGTACTCATACAATGATAGATATATAGACCAATGGAATACATTTTAGATGCCAGGAGTAAAGATACCTATGTATGGAGTCCATATTTGACAAAGGGCCAAAACATATTAAGTGGGGAAGCCAAATGGTGCTGGTAAAACTGCTTATCATTTGCAGAAGAATAAAATAAAATCCATATTTCACACCATATTCAAAGTCAAAGTTCAATATGAAACAAAGACTGAAATGTAAACCTAAATTTAAAAAAGATCATCAATGAAAACATGAAAGTTCATCAATGAAGAAGCTTAGAGACCCAAATCATGGCATAAATATACTATCAAACATAATAAAAAGCACACAAATAGAATAGCAGAGATGAAATAGAATACCTGAAAAACTTGATCCACCTTATATGAATCAAAAGACTTCACCAAATGTGTTAAAAGAGAACTCATGGAATGGGGGAGGAATTTGAGAGATGCAAATCAAAATAACAATGAGATATCACCTCATCCTAGGATTAATAGCAAAATTAAAAACAAAACGCACACACAAAACCACCCAATAATGGCAAGATGCAGAGAAATTGGGAACCTGATTCATTGCAGGTGGGACTGTAAAATGACAGAATCACTGTGGGAAGCAGTGCTTCCTCAAAAGGTTAGGAATATAAAAACAGTATCACTCAGTAGCAATTCCTTAACTGGTCTTTGTCCTAGAAAAATATGAGATGCAACATGAATATGCACACCCATGTTCATCGCAGCACTATTCACAAAAGCAAAAAATGTAAATAATCAAAATATCTAGCAATGGAAGAATGGATAAACTTTAGTAGATATGCATAATGAAATACTATGCAATGCTAAAGAATAACAACGAATCTGCAAAACATCTCACAACATGGATGAACCTGGAAGAAAGTATGGGAGTGAAATCAGTCAATAAAAAGAAAGACAAGTGTTGTATAAGAACACTGTTAGAACAAATGTACAAATGTGCTTGACACAGGGATGGATGGATGGTGATAAGAGCTGTAAGATCCCCCAATAAAATGATTTATTAAAAAAGTAATAAAAAATAAAACATTTAAGAAATATTTAACAAATGGGTCTTTATATTCAACATTTTAATAAAAGATTTTTTTAAAAAAAATAATTTTATTGGGGGCTCGTATAACTCATCACAACCCACCCATCCATCCATTGTGTCAAGCACACTTGTTGCCATCATCATTTTCAAAACATTTTCTTTCTACTTGAGGCCCTCATTTTCCCCTCCCTCCCCCACTCTCCCTCCCTCACAAACCCTTGACAATTTATAAATTATTTTTTCATGTCTTACAGTGACCAATGTCTCCTTTTACCCCAAAAGATGTCTTTTTTATGTAGCATTTCTCTCTTATATGGAGCCTTGGTAAAAACAAAATTAATGTTATGTATGCTTCCAAAGCTGAATGCCACAAGTTGAATAAAAAAATAAATAAATAAAACACTGTTGGAAAAAGTCAAGAAAAGCTTTGGTACTGAAAGAAATATTCTTTAAAAAAACCATTTTTTGATGGTTGCCAAGAAGAGGGAGAGTAAGTCATGGCTATCCGGTAGACAAGCTTGAACCTGAGTGAAGGGGAGGGCAATATATAATAAAAGGGAGGTTAGTAAAAAGTCATGGAGGCAAGGGAAACCACTGGGAGGTTTCCAAGAGTTAAAGGCAATGGAGGCGAATGCTGTTCTATGAACAATCTTGAAATAGTGGTGATCTCTGAGTAGATGCTTAGACAGACATGCAAGCTGAACAGACGTGGAAGGGAGGGGTGGGTGGGTAGTATAACCACAAAGAAGAGACCTGATAGGAGAGATCTGTATATGTATTTATCGTTGCTGAAAACAGATTCATGAAAAAAATGTATTTGAAAAAATGACAGGAAATTCCCCATATTTGATGAAAAACATTATAATCCAGATAGCCAAGAACCTCAAAGAACTCCTAGTAGGATAAACTCAGAGATCTACACTACAAACATTACAATCAAACGGCCAAAGGCCAAAGAAAGCATTGTGAAATGCATAAAAACTCACTACATGAGAAACAAGGAAGACAGAAGACAGTGAAGCGACATATTTAAAGTGCTACAGGAAGACTGTAGACCAGGATTTCTATATCTAGCAAAGGGTTTCTTTCAAAAAATGGTGGTGAAATTAAGATATTCCAAAATAAATAAACTCAGAAAATTCATTGCCAGCAAACCTGCCTTACAGGAAATGCCAAAGTGAATCATCGGGATGAGAGGTGAAAGAGAGCCTAGAAAGTGAACTCACATTTACATGAAGAAAGAAAGAACAATGGGTTAATGGACATGATAGTATCAGTGTATTTCTGTTTGTAATGCTTCTTTCCTCCTATCTAATTTAAAAGACAACTGCATGTAGCAATAATTATAAGCCTATGTTTATGGGCACACAAGATATTATTTGTATAATAACAATCAAATGCAGGGAGAGGAAATGCAACTAAATAGGAGCAGTTTTTTTATGCTGCTGAAATTAAATTGGCATTTACCTAAACTATACTGGTAAAATGGGAAATTGTAATCCCTGGACCGTCTATGAAAAATTTAAACCTAAAATGAGTAAATTCACATGGTCAATTAGAAATGATCAATTTAACACAAACAAAGGCAGTCCGTGAGGAATACTATGGCCTGTGAATTGATTGGAATTCATGGCAAACTCGTGTGTCAGAGTAGAACTGCACTTTGTAGAGTTTTGGATGACTGATTTTTTTAGGTGGTAGATTCTCAAGTCTTTGTGCTGAGGTGCCTCGGAGTAGACCCAAACCTCCAACCTTTTGGTTAACAGCCACATACATTAACTATTTGCACCATCCTAATGTGGAGGAACACATTAATATTATATTAAAAACATCTACCAGACTCCAGAAACCCAAACTCACTACCACCGAGTTTACTTAAAATGACCCAATAAGACAGGGGTGCTCAATACAGTGATTGGCAATCGCGATCTACTAGACGATTGCAAATGTAGGGTGGGTAGATCACGTGGCAATAAAAAAAGAGACGTAAGCCTATTATTAT